AAATGACAATGTCGGTGAAGATTACGTTACAAATGTAACACATCTGTGCAAACCCGTATCTTAAATCCATTTTTTAGAATAACCAAAAAGTGGGCCACAAGAATTTTATTTGCAAGTTTCTCATCATAATCTTCCCATGCTATTACAACTATGTTAAATATTAGTCTCTGGACATAGACAATTATGAACAGAACTACAATTGTGTTGTTACCTCTCTACTATGTCAAATATGAACCATCCATGCATGTTCCAAATAATTGAATGACTTCACTTGAATAATTATTCTATTTGCATTTAAGTGCTTTAAAAATGAGTATTACTATTTTATGGTGTTCCTGATTGGGTGATTATTCCCAGACCAGTAGACTTCACTAAGCGTTTTATATATGAACCCTATACTGTATGTCCAGTGGACAAAGTGCTTTAATTAAAAACTGTTCTATAGTACCACTTTTCATAGCAACAGTAGCACAGGTAATTCAGTTTGGATCATTTACTTTATCTGCAGGAATCCTAAGAATTATGGGAAGAATCTTAAATATTTGTTATTTTTTTAAAAAAAAAATACAAATACATACATAAGGAGCGAAAGATGGAAACTAAAAGATAATTTTCTATTCTTGTACTATGATATGAATATTGGTTTGTTGCATTTAGGCCCCACTGTAATAATATCTGGTAAAAGTTAATCATGTTGCATATTCCAGTAGTAAAATTACAGCCCAAGATGACTTGAGGCAACCATGGCAGCTTCCAGACATATGGATTTCTACTCTCAGAAATGATTGATGATGGCAAAATTCTGGAAGTTGAAAGCCGTACAATTGATAGTTGCAAGGCTGAAAAATACTGTTCTAAAGGAATGTCTCTCTATGCACATTTCTAGTCACTGTGATGATCTTCAGAGACAATATTTTGAGTGCTTTGGTTTGATCTCACATATTAGGTGGCTACAAGCAAGTAATTCCTTCTCAAGTATCACTTCTGGGTTCTAGAAAAACATTTGTCTGAAGTCTGTGATGTTACCATAAGGAATAGTCAGTTAACATAAGAAATAGTCATTTTTCTTTTTCTAAGTATTCTAGATTTTTATCTCAGAAGTGCAGGAACAATATTTCAAAACATATTACATTGTTTCTCTCCTGGTTATTTGTTGTATTCATACAGTATATGTTAATATAATTAAATAAATGCACATAATCATATACTTACTTACCTGGAAAATATTCTGCACAATAATTTGTGCACTTTTAAGACTATATTCTCCCACATATTTATTAGCTCCTTTTGAAATAAATACACAGTAAAATGGTATAAGGGAGAAAAGTTGCAATATTTATCAACTCCTCTATTTTGAGCATTAAATAAAAAATCCACCACATCTAAATATGCAACATTTTAAAACCAATTTTAAGGAATATGTGTAAACTGAGAAAGAAATCTGATGCCACAATGCCACTGTTCTCATAGGCATATTCAAATTATATCTGAAAACTACTGCAAGATATAGTCTAAAAATATATTGTGCATTCCCATTTGCATATCATCTGTACCTATAGCAGTAGTCAGTAATCCAAAATAAAAAGATTGTTTCAAACTTTGGCTTACTGTGCTAAAATATATCATGTTTTATTCAAAGACTGCCAAACAATCTGCATTAAGTGTCAATACAACCAGTGTGAGCTTAATGGCAGAGTGGGAGTTCAGCATGTTTCTGTAGGAGTAATCCTATATGCCATTTTATACAGGCTCTGGTCTGACTGTAAAGTATTTTGGATCTGAAAACAACTCCATGGAATCTTGTTCTTTATACAGACATTCTAATACATTTTTAGACAAGCCAATTTGACTTATAAAGTATAATTTACAAATGGTATTCCTTATTCTATCAGTTTTCTGATATGATTTTTCCTACTATTGTTTGCAATGCTAACACCAGAGATTTTTTTTTGGGGGGGGGAATAAAAAAGTTAACAGGATGTTCAATTATGTAATTGCCATTTCATGTTTTTGACTCTTTATGGAGACGTCCCTGATAGCATATAACTTTTAATATTTTTAACACTGCAATGCTAATTAGAAAGTAGAGCTTTTAGCCATATACCATCAGAAAATGTTTGTGTAAATAGATATGGCAGCCTTCTCCACCTTGATCTCTGCCATTTGCATTACCAATGAGCAGAGGTATACTTGAACATAGAAAACATCACCAAATTGGAGATAACTGATACATGGGAATTGTCCCCAAAATAACATCAACAACAATAGCAATTTATTGAAAAGATGTGAGATATTATACAAATGTATAGTATTCTTTTAAATTTCAGTGCTTTTACATAGGATTAAGGTAAGGAAAACATAGAGGGCATAACTCCTGGAATTTTTTATCAGGAGCCATAGAGGCATCTGAATTTTATTCTGTGTAACCAAATAATGTGTCATGGTGTGCATGTGTATGCATTTTCTCTTCAGAAACTAAATGTACTATGCACATGCACATTTCTTGCATGTATCTATTCAAAGTAACAGAACAGAATAAAATACTTTATTTGGCCAAGTGTGATTAGACCAACAAGGAATTTGTTTCTGGAATGGTAGTGCTCGGTGTACATGCAAAGCAACAGAACAATAAAATCATAATACCAATAAGAGGGGGTAGTAAAGAAGATAAGGATAATAATGCTACACCCATACAACTTGAATAATTTTATATAGATATTAGATAGTACAGTGAGACTTAAGTGTTCAGCAGAATGATGTCACACATCTAGTTGTCCCTGTGTCTAGTTGTTTTGGCATGCAATGCCCTATAGTAGCTTACTGAGGGGAGGAGTTGAAACAGTTTATTTCCACAATGTGAGGTCTCTGTAGATATTTTCTCAGCCCTTCTTCTGACCTGCACAACATATAGGTCTTTCATGGAAGCCAGGCTAATTGCAGTTATTTTTTTGGGGGGGGGAATCCTAACTATCCATTGGAGTCTGTACCTGTCATATTCGGTTGCTATATATGTGTATATGTGTTGCTTTTCTGTATGCATGTGTCTACCTAGATTATATGTGTTCTCCTGTAGAGAGTAAGGAAGATGACCTGGGGGAAAATATGCAGAAACCATTATCTAGACAAAACGAGCTAAATAACTTTTTTTTTAAGTTCAGCAAAATGAAATATTTAGGCAGGTACTTTCCTGAATTGTAAGGATGTTTTTAAGCCTTGTAAGATTCTGTTATTATAGCCATTACCCCCAAAGGATAGTCCTAGTCTTTCTGCGGATTTTCTAGTCTACCTAGTGGGGCTAAAATGCCTTGTGTGTGTGAAGAGAAAAAGAGTATGTTTAATTAGTTCAGGCACATAGGTTGTATCCATGTATAGGTTGATGATCTCCCCTAGTTATATCTGTGTGTGAGGTATATTGATTACAGACCATCAAGTTGTGTTTGACTCTTCATAACCACATAGAAAGATTGTCTGCATGATCTGTCCCTAAATTGGTTTTTCAACAGTGCTCTCATCTCACCATAACATAATCTATCCATCTTGCTGCTGGTCTCTTCTTTTTCCTTCCACCTTTCCTTCTCCAAAAAACCTGGGTCTTTGCATAACGGGTCTGAAGTAGGATAATTTAAGGCTGGTCATTTGTGCCTCGAGGGAGAATGCTAGCTTGAATAGGACAGACTGCACACCCTCTGTCTGGGTCTCTTGTTTAGAGGGAAAAGAAGGGAATAGACCAGTCAGGTGCCCATGGAGCTGCCCAGCTGCCTCTCGAATAGAAATGCATTGGAGGATGCTATTCTGAGTTGGGTACTTCTGCAGTTCTGAATCATCTCCAGGCTATTTTCGACTCTTCTTTTGCTGGATTTTCTTCCATAGCCATTTGAATGGTGAACTGTTTTCAGAGCATTACCCTGCTCTGAATACAGGATTGGAATGTAGAGTTCCAAGTCCTTTGACGCATTTCCAATCTAACTTCCCAAAGGTATAAAAATAATAATAATAATAATAATAATAATAATAATAATAATAATAATAATAATAATAATAATAAAAAAATCACAAAGTACCGGGACTTGCAAATTGAAGTTGAGTGACTGTGGAAAAAGAAATCGTGTGTTGTCCCGATTGTAATTGGAGCCCTTGGAGCAATACCCAAAGGGCTACCCCACTATTTAGAAATTCTAAAGTTGCCGGACTTGAACATTTTGACTCTACAAAAAACCACCTTACTCGGAACAGCTTACATCCTCCCACGATACCTTAACAGCTCCTAGGTCCTTGGTTAGGACTCGAGCTGCTGAGCTATTAACCAGCCTCAAAGGCTGTGAATCTCACTAAGGATTAAATAATAATAATAATAATAATAATAATAATAATAATAATAATAATAAGTAGTAGTAGTAGTAGTAGTAGTAGTAGTAGTAGTAGTAGTAGTAGTAGTAGTAGTAGTGGAAACATACAGTACTGGTATTCCATTCAAATCCGGTTTTAAGGTTCTTCGATTTCCATCCGCAAACTAGCCATTCAAAGACGACGGAGAAAATAAAAACCTATCTTCGCTCCCCTTTGAATCCGGGTCCTGGCTAGCATTCAAAGCAGGTTTACAGAACATATATACAAACGCCGGGAAAAGAAGTAAACACGCTTCTTAAATGTTACCGCGCGAAAACCTATTAAAATCCCGGAATTAACCAAACAACAAATACATTCGCTAACATTAAGTTTTGCCCTTAGTTGCAAAGCCCCCGTATTGCCATTTCTTAGCTATCAAACATATTGCCTGTATTTTCTCTCTTTTTTTTCCCCCTTCCCCTAATCCGCTGTTAAACTCATTCTGCATTTTGCATCCGCCTTCGTGATCGGCGAAAAAGCCTTCAGTGGAAATCAGGCGGCTTGTGTCGCGCTAGTTCCCCCCACCCCCAGTCAAACAGTCGTTTGTTGTTCAGGCACTTTCGGAGACAGACTCCAGAAGATGGGGCTTTCTGGGAAAGGAAGGAACCTCAAACAGTATCAGCCGGGGTGGCACGTGGGTTGGAGAGGTTGTAGGTGTGCGTGGCTGGAGCTTCTGGCTTAGTCTGTGATCTTTTTCCTGGCTGTTTCTCCCCACCTGTCCTAGGATGAAAGTGGTGGCTTTAATCAGGTAAAATAATTGCTTAGCGCTGGGAAGCTGTCCGGAGCTGAATAATATTTGTATTTCCCGGTTTCTAGGAAATGCTGGACTCTCTTATTATGTGAACAAAATGATGCAAGTGACAAATAGCCCAAGATGATTCTTTTTTTTTTTTTCCTTTCTTTCTTTCTCCGCGTGCAATCAGCAGTGTGATAGGTTTTATGAAATACAGGTTTGGTTTTGCTTCCCTTTTAATTGGAGATCAGGGACACTTCAGTAGTGACGGATATCCAGTCTCATCAAACTCGGGAAGCATTGTTAAGTACGAGTTGTATTACAACTAAACATTTAAAGGGCACTATTTGTTGCAGAACTAGGACTTCAGGCTATATTCTGGAGAATGCCTGCATGGTGATATTTTGGAAGTCTTTTAAGATTTTTCTTTTTATGGGTATCTGTAGCAATTCTCTGTTGATAGCTGTCTGGTATACTACTATAGTACTATTAAATCTAAACATATATATAGGTAGTCTTCGACTTTTAGTGACAGTTCAAAGTTACAAAGGCACTGAAAATAGTGACTTATGACCATTTTTCACACTTATGACCCTTGCAGCATCTCTATGGTCACATGATTTACATTCCGATGCTTGACAACTGACTCATTTTTTTTAAAATGAGTTTTATTGGGTTTTAACAATTAAACAATTCTTATTCAACTCTTGTGCATGACTGTGATCATTTACATATCATACTAATATTCTCCTATACTCTATATAATTTTACAAAATCTACTATCTGTTATTTCCCTTTTTTCTAACTTCAATCCAATTATACCATTTCTTCCATATTTCGTAAAAGTCCGAATCCATCTGTCCTTTCAGTTCCAATGTCATTTTATCCATCTTGGCACAATCTAATACCTTTCTAATTATTAGATCTTTGGAGGGTGTGTTCGAACTTCTCCAACATTGCGCAAATGCCAATCTTGCCGTAGTTGTGACAACTGACTCATATTTATGACGGTTGCAGGGTTCAGGAGTAATGTGATCCTCTTTTGCGACCTTCTGACAAGCAAAGTCAATGGAGAAACCAGTTTCACTTACTGTAACAACCATGTTACCAATTTAACAACTGCCGTGATTCACTTAACAACTGTGGCAAGAAAAGTTGTAAAATGGGGTAAAACTCACTTCACAAATTTCTCATAAATGGTGGGCTCAATTATGGTCATAAATTGAGAACTACCTGTAAAGTTTTCCAGAATGATATCTGGGATGGCACTTAAGAGTTATACAGTACTCAGGGTATAGTCACATATTTATTTGTTCAACTTGTATGCCGCCTTTCTCCGAAGACTCAAGTGTCTCTACATAGTGTATTCCTTGGTGAATTAAAACATAGTATATTGAATTAGTCCATTAAACATATACAGCATGGCATATTCAGCCGTGAATTAACTGAATGGGATGAGTTTGCGCCACATTGCAAGCTAAAACATGGCTGGCTATTTTGTGGTTCAGTATGTAATACAAACATAGATGTACAATTAAAGAACAGAGGGTCTTAACACACATGCTTGGCCTAGTAATCCACATATTAAATTATTTTGGTGATAGGAATACTCTTAATTTTACTTTAAACTTTTACCACCCTGGAAACATAATTAGATTAGATTTGCTGTAGTTAAACACACAGTTTGAAAATGTTTTGAATTGCTACAAATCATTTGGAAGTTTATTCTCTACAAACTAGTGAATCAAAGGCAAAGCTTAATGATGGAATTATATAAAAAGGGAAAAGGAAAAATCAGTAACTACTCTTGAGATTAAATAAGTCTAACAACAGCCTGCTGAAATAAATAATGCTATGGGAGTAGAGCTTCCTATAACTAGATTTTGTTTAGCATTTCCCATCTCCCCTTCCTTCAGTTTTGATAGGATGGCTCCACCAGTTAACATTTAAAGAATGCGAATAGTTTATGGCTTACACAGATTTATGATCTGAATGAAATGGCCACTTATAAATACGATTATGTCTTACTTTCCAAGAAATTGTGACTTTCTTCTTAAATTATTATATTAATAATGTGTGTGTGGGCATATTCTATTACAAGAACTGGTAAAAGATGATTTGTATACCAATCAACTTAGTACTATTAAGATTTTTACTAGCAATTTTATTTCATATGATTTTACATTTGCTCAATTTTCCATGGGTATATCAATGTCTGGTGTCAAGCTCAGAACTGTAATCTAAAGGACAGTTCTTCTAAGTCATGGGTGTCAAACTCGATTGTGTCATGCAACGTCACATGATGTATCACAACGTTTTTTGCCTTTTGGAGCTGGGGTGGGCGTGACCTACACATGATGCATCCGGCCTGCAGGCCGTCAGTTTGACACCCCTGTTCTAAGCCATGAGTAATTACATACAAAAAACAATCATTCACAATAAAAAACATCAAGCTCATGGCCAATTACTAAGTGGTTGAATTAGAAATTTTCTAAGGACCGTGCATCTTCTTGTAATGTCTTTAGAAGGACTGTGGGTTATTTTTAAGATGCAAAGAATATTACTTCTTGAAGTCAGTCTTCTCTTTAGAAAGTAATGTTTAATTACCCAGTTAGTTATGTTCTGATTTATGTTAAACAAAATTATTAACAAGTGACACTTATTATAATTAGGGTTTTTGGACTGAATAAAGCTTGGATCGTACTCCTGTCTTGATAAATGTTCTGATTTAGGCTTTCCTAGCAGCACGAAGCCGAGTCCTCGTCCCAATATATTTTATTTAATTTACAGTGAATTCCTCTCCAGAAATGTCTTTCCTCTCCCACAGTCTTTCAAGATAGTTCACAATTACCAACCTTTATTAGTGGCCAGGCCGATATCTTTCACAGGCTGCAATACTTGGCAAGAGTGCAGTAATGAACTAATCGTTTCTTGCAAACTCCACTCCCCTTTCGCTCCTCTTTTATTCCCTCTGGGAGGGCCATTCATCGTTCACCTGTGGCCTTACTCCCAAGTTGACCCTTGTTCTTTAGCTGTTCTCTTCGTATGGCAACTCTGCTCATGCGCACACTGGGAACAGACTCCAGCTGTTCGTCTGCCTCACTGATGTCTGACTCCAAAGGCAGCTGATAATTGGCATACGGCCTTGGCCCCCTCCCTGCCTCCGATACGGAGCCCTCATCAGAGCCTTCCCCAGACTCCAGGACTGGCCCATGTTCCTCCCCAATTTCCTCACTGTCCAAATCTGCTGCCAGATCCGCTGGCTGCTGGTGGGCCATAACAATAAAGTCACTCCCTTCCCCCAGCCCATCCATCCACTTTTAAAAAGTTCTATGCATTTATTGGGCAAATGGGTTTCAATATGTGGATAGACCAAACAGACTCTTTCCAAGAAGTTCTTAGAGTGTCAGGACAATCCTTTTGGTGATAAAGCCACCTTGTAGAATGGGGTGCCAAATTTCCTTTTTTACTGCCTAGCTTTACTCTGAGACTGACAGTGGTCAGTAAACAGTTTGTTTCTGTTTTTAATTTCCTTGAAAGCTGAAGATGCTTTTCGTTTGTAAATGTAGATAGGAGAAGTCCAATCTGTGGCCTCTTTCATAGATTCACTCACTGTTCAAGGACACCTGCCCATTGATGTTATGGTATCCACCCATTACACAAATGCCTTCATATTCTTTACATCCTCCGCCGCAAATATGCTTTTTGGTTTGGGGACTTTTTGAGTATATTTGAACTATATGTGAAAAGTATACAATAAAAGATATCTCATGATTAAAGCCTGCAGGTACTACCTAAAATATAATAAATTATCTGTCTAATGTTCATTTGGATTAATTCTGTGTTCTGTTCAGAACTCCCTGAGTCAATGTATATTTAGGGTGTTCTATAAAGTGGGACAAAAATAATTTAGTTATAATTGTGTAGTCTTCTCATTTTACTTTTCAAATTTAAGTATGCTTACTTTTTTTAAAGGGCGGCCATACTCTGAGAAATCTGAGCATTTTTCAAAATGAGGCAATTATGAAGAATCAAACATTTGTGCCTCACAAATACTCTGGAATATAGTGCCTTTCATTCTGTCTGATATCCTTGGTAACTAAATTGTTTCTGATGGATGTCTTGCACCCACACAACATTAATTTGCATTCTAGTTTCAGCCTGTGAAAAGTCACTGACATTGAAGGTTTAACAATAACTCTTTTAAAGCTTGATGTTTTAGTTGTAGAAATTTTTCTGGCTGTGCATTTGTTTTTAATATTTGGATTCAAGTGGAATGGTATTGCATTTTTAATACAATCAAGATGATGAAAAGAATTTCAGTATTTACCGTACGCTTACTTGCTTTGATAAATTATTTCTTTTCCTAAATAGCCAACCTGCTATCATATACTGTGCTAGATAGATATACAGTAAAATCTGTTTTGCAGACTGAGATAGTTATGAAAGCATCCTGATTTGGCCTAAATAGGCATATTAGAAAATCAGAAGTTGTTTTCCTGTACCCTCTTGTGCAAATAGTACTTTCATTTCTCATTTACATGTGAAAAATAATAACATAGCTAAGAAACCTTTGGTGACATTAAAGAGAATGAAGCTATTGCTTCAAATATTGCTTACTTAATTGATTTAAATCCAGCTAAAATATATATATAAACATGGTTAGTGACTCAGCTGAAAAAAAAGCTAAAAACATACTCATGATTTATTTGAAAAAGCACTGATATTTTTTAAGTGTAAACAATTTCACTGCCATTTTGAGTTAAATATAAACATTACTTCAAGAGAGTTCTTATTGAAAATGCAACCTTTTTTTTCTTTTAGTGGTGGAAAAGACAGCTCTTACAATATGATGCATTGTGTTGCTGCTGGTCATCAGATTGTTGCCTTAGCCAATTTAAGGCCTACTGAAGACAAAGGTAAGGATTCCATATTTTCTCTTAAGAACCTTTGAACTCTTCATCTAGAGCTTCATCTAGATAAAATGATATTTTATCATTTTATCTGTCAAACAAAAGTGGAAAATGTATGAACTTGTTAAGAGTGCTTTATAGGAGCATGGGAAATTATTTTATACTAAATCAGATTATGTCTGTGTAGCTCATAATTACACAGTGTAAAAAGTATTGCAAATTCTATATTTGCTTGGGAGAATGTCTACACAGAATTTTGAGGTAAAAAGGTAAGCTTTTGTGCAAAGAATTGCTGTGGGTAAGACTTGTGTCCCCAGCTAAGTTGTTTATAGGAGATAATAAGCTGGGATAATGTACTGCAGTTCTCTGTGTTACATTTGTTTTAAACATTAATCTTCACCAGAAACACCAGTGTTGCCATTTAAGCTACATGATTATTTTAAGGGTTATTGTGCATAAGATGTCATAAACTCTGATTTATTATAGCATTGGAAGTTGCAGTAAATTACATAAATATTAAATTAGGAGTTCATTTAGAGGATATTTTTTGTGATCTTTTGAAATAAAACATTCCCAAGGTTTAAGATTATTTTGTGTTTACACTTCATACAAATGTATGATTTGTAAGAATTTGAACATATCCCTCCATATTGATAATAAAATTATAACAACTTAGAACCAGTTTTGTGTAATGGTTAAATTACTGATTTAGAAACTGTGGGACTCTGAGTTCTAATCCTCTTTTGGGCATTAAAGCTGGCTAGGTTACTTTGGGTCAGCACTTTGATATGTGCCATAAATCTAAAAATATTTTGATCAGAACTCTATATCTATACATGTTTACTCAAAGAAACATGTTTATCTTGAAGGTACTGAGATGTACACGTAGGGAACAGGTGAAAAAATTGGTTAATCAAATGGAAATATTAATACTTGTTTTAGTGCAGGGATCTCCAAACTTGGTAACTTTAAGACTTGCGGTCTTCAACTCCCAGAATTCCCCAGCCAGTATGGCTAACTGAGGAATCCATGGCTTGGATCCATGGTAATTTTACTAAGAATACAAGGAATTCTTCCATTTGTTGAAAACTTGTGATGCTTTTACTGGTGGATCAAGGGTCTTTACTGGTGCTCCTTCCTACTGGTGAAGAAGAACAATTTATTGATTATCCTATTTCTCAATCTCCTACTCTCTTACCAAAAGTCTGAAGTGGATTGAATAATTTTTTTGCACTAGTGGTGGTATGAAGGAAACTAACTCCAATCCAAGTAATTAGTACTCTTACTCTTCCCCCATTTAGATGTGCCTCAGGATGACTTATTATAACAGTTTGTTTAGTAGTATTTCAGTCTTAAAAGCATTTATATCTTTGAGCCAGAAAGATTCAGAAAAGGCTTGTACAATAATAGAAATGATAGTTGCTGTCTTTGAGAGCACTACCAAGTAGACGGGGCAATAAAACTTCAAGGGCAGTTCTTAATGTTTCATGATTCTTATTATGGCAAGCTATAGTACAATTGATGAACTTGCTGGTCTCTATCACAGGATTTTGGTCTTTGTGTCCCACTCAGGGGGTCAGAACAGCAGGAAGCAGACACTTAACTTCTAGGATTTTTTTTATCACAGTTTTTTTAAAAAAAATCATTATTGTTTCTGTACTTATACCATTATGAATTTTACAAAAGTCAGCGATTTTTTAGAAGGAAGGAAGAAACGAATGAATGATGACATCCTGGGCTGACTCCTAATACAAGAATGAATTTTTGTTGGTGCATGTTAAAAAATAATTTCCATGCACAGGGAAGCTATAACCGTAGTTGATAAAGTTTATTCGTTTTTAAGATGCTTGGGATGTTTTCAGTATTATTCTCTGTTTTGCATTTGGGAGTAATTGAAATTGGGAGTAGAATATATTTTTATTGTATAAAGGGAATTTTAAAACAGGAGTGTAGTGTTTAATATATATTTGGAGTAACGTTCTTGACATTCTGTACATTCAATAATGTAGAAATGCTTTGTTTGCCTTTCAGAAGGATTTGATGAGCTGGACAGTTACATGTATCAAACAGTGGGCCATCAAGCTATAGAATTATATGCTGAAGCTATGGACTTGCCTCTCTACCGTCACACGATTAAAGGTACCAGCATTAACACAGGCAGCATCTACACAAAATGTGACGGTGATGAGGTGGAAGATCTTTATCAGCTTCTGAAACTTGTCAAGGTATTTTGTATGGCAATTTCTTCTTTTAAATATAAGGATTAAACTTGTATACATCAAGCCTAGAATCGCCTGTACTGTTACAATATATTCGGTTTTCAAAAGAGAATAAATCTGAAAGAAGTGGCCTTAATTTATAGCTTGTTCTGCTCTTTATTGTTGCTTCCTGTTTCAGGTTAAATATCCTACTATTGGTGTAAAAATTATTTATTAATTTATGCTAAGAAATACATCACATTGGTATGGTGATCCAATATGTTTCAGTTTTTACTGATATATTTGCTGATATATTATTTTTTCTTGTGCCCAATTTATGTTTTGTACCTTTTGTATACTTAACTGTGGGGCCCACTGTAGTTTCTATGTTAACAGCCCATAAATTTTAAAGGAAAATCGAAAAGAACAGAATTTATTATTTACATTGTATTATTTATTTAAAGCATAATCATGGATACACTGAATTACCAGGATAGCACTTTTAGAAAATAGAAAACATTACTGATATGAGGTGATATAATATAAACCATGGCTTATTGGAATGAGCAGTAGTGAATCACATGGTTCCCTCTAGTAGTATGATTAGATGTGAGACTAATTCAAGAAGCTTTAAATATTTTCAGTATTGCACTCAAAGTGAGCTATAAAAATTCAAGACTTCTAAGGATTCTGCAAAGAAAGATAGTCCCCCATACTTAATTAGAAAGAATGTTTCTAGGTATATATGTTAGACTCTTCCATTTGCCTCTTTTTGGATTGATTTGGTCATGCAATATAAGTAGAAGGCTCCATTTAGGCATCCAAGCTCCCTTATATATAATGAATTGTTGGATTGATGCAATTGACTGGATATTTTTGTACTCGCTCCATAGACCTTTAACATGAAAATACTGATAAAAATTTATCTCTTTACCATTCTAAATAACTGGTCATAATTATTTGAATTATGATAATCAAATTAGAAATCTTGATCACTATAGTCTCTATAAAACAGATAGTTTTATATGTATATTGCTTAGATTTTTAAGTTCTGTATTTCTGGCTGATTTCTCATATAGATATCCGTCCTGGAATAGATGAGACAATCGTGACTATTGGTCTGAAGGTTTGTGGATGAATTTCAAATAGGATGCTTATTGTTTTTGTTCTAATAGAGAAATTATACTTAGAAGATTTTCAACAATAACTAGGAATATAATAATTCTTATGTTGTTTCTAAACTTGGATTTCCTTTTTAGAACAATGGTGTGTTTAGCAAGCACCCAACTACAGAGAGATCAGTTATGGATCTCAGCAGAATATTTTTAGCATGCACACTGATTGAAGGAAATGGACCATTGCTTTGAACAGAAATGTAGGTGGAAAAATGAGGCCACCAGAAGGTGTTCACTCCAAATTTAAACATTTCTGAATTGGATACCTGTGACTACAGTTTATGCTCATGGATTATTTTGTTTCCTTCTGGTTTGGTGTTTAGCTTTATCACCACAAATAATTATTGTAGAGGAATGACTGAAATAATGTGTTGGAAATTGTGAGTCTCCTGTAAATGCTCCAGTATAGGCATTTAACCTCTGCTGTAATAAACAGTCTGAAAAATTATCAGCTAAATATTACACATGAAACAAAAGCTTTTATGCTACATGTGGGATCCTATATGTACAGTGGAAGCAAACTCATAGATGAAACGAAGTTGGGCATCTTTATTTTTTTTCTTCCATTTATTCTGAATCTCTTTCTTGATTGCTTGCTAAATTAAGTGTACAATCTCTCACTGCAAAAATAGCAACACAATGCATAATGAGGATAGATGTACTGATCCTAGTGGTATTGGTTCCATAGAGGTTCTGAAAAAGAGATTTCAGTTGAGAACAAGTTTGCTTTGCTCTAACGCAATGGCTTCAAGATTGTTCCAGCTTTACCTTCAAATTTACCAGAGGATCCTTAATAAGCATATAAGTAATGGAGAAACTTTATGGAAAAGAAGTTAATATATCTTTTATGTTACATGCAAAATGTGTGCATATTCTTATCAGGTCATATAGAGCAACAGTGAAACATTTGTGTAAGACAATTTGTGTGCAAAAGAGATAAACACAACAACCACTTTTTTTCATGAAAGGAAGAAGTAAGTATAGAAATGGTTACCTTAGTGTGAAAGCTTTGGAAACTGTTGCTAGAAGAAGCAGATCTCTGTCCTGTTTGAAAACATTGTCTTTTACATTTCATGATGGAGAATAGCTCAAACTACTCCATTCCCAAAGGGATGAGAAAGTTGTATAATAACATGAGGTAGGAGTTGGCACCAGGTAGGATGTCAGCTCACCTATTTTTAATTGGAGTGACAGAATCCAAAATTAAATAAATAAATTAACCACCCCCTCCCCCAAAGCTCTGAAATCTTGCAGGATGTCCACACTTGTGCAGTGAAGACCTGCATTATTTTAGCTTTTAAGAAATATTTTATTTGAAATTAGCCCCAGTGCCATTGTATAGTGTCAGCCCTCTCTTGAAAAGTTTTCTTGTTGTTGACTTAAAACTTAATGCATTGAAGTTTGCTTATTGTTTAAAGGATAGGGTTTGAAAATTTGTGATATTGTTAGACTTGATTTTAATACACAGTGTACTAAAGAGTACACTTAGAGAATTGTTCTAACTTTTTCCATGCCAGAAGATTATTTTTGGCTGAGGTAGGAGGGGGAGGAAAGGAAATGTATTATTGATCAATTAAATTAAATGATTAATAGTAGGACAAACTTGCTTTTCATTTTCTTCCAGACAGCAAGGACTGAATACATTGCTATTATCTGGAGAATAACAGTCAGTTATGACATAAATTAATGCTAATGTTAAATCTTGACAACTTCTGCTTTGGAAGTTTGTGCATGATATTTATAACTATAGTTGAAAGAGATGTTATCAAGTTGTCTTGGACTAAATAAGTGATGTGTTTTTTTCTAAGTAGATATTAATTTCACTGAAGGAAAATTCAAAGATATAAATATATGGAATCAATTGCATTTATGAAAGACATTCAATAACCATGATTTTACAGCTGAAGTCATTTAAAGCACTTCTAAAATTGCACTTGAAAACTTGCCTACCTCAATACATTATTGGGTATTTTATAAGAACAAGAATTTGGGATTAGAAAAAAAAGGAAAAGAAAGAGAAAGGGAAAAGAAAAGAACGGAGGAGTGAGGGAGGGAAGGAAAGGAAGGAAGGAACGAAGGAAAGAAAGAAAGTAGAAAGAAAGAAAGAAAGAAAAAGAAAGAAAGAAAGAAAGAAAGGTAGGTTTTCATTTTCCCCTATGGGTAGATACTTGCACTTAAGAATTGATGATCTAAATGTGAGTACAGTATATTCAAGAGTGTTCCTTTTCCCTGAGAAATAGCTATCCTGCATTTGGTTAGAAACCTTTAATGAAGATAAGCCAGTTGACACAATTGCAGGATTCACACATTGTGCACTAATCTGAGTTAGTTTTGGCTCTGCCAATTAAGGATTATAAAAATTGACGTAATACCCATCTGGAAGATACCAACAAATTGCAGAAATTGGACTGAAGCAATAATTTTTTTGTATTCATATTTGGGAAATAATTATTGCAGTGTGTCATAAATTTGCAGTTGTTGTTGCTCAAAATGTAATTCTTTTGAGTTGGAAGTTGAAGGCGTTGAAACAAAATTGTTTCAGTCTTTGGATTCTCATAAAATTCTAAGAGTCCTTTTGACTTATACTAGTCTTACTATCTACATTTAATAATCAAATATGAAAAGTTACTAATGGAAATCTGGCTATAATTCAGAGTGAGCCATCTTGCCATTTGACTTCTTTAAAAAATTGATAAAAACTTTTCAAAGTTTGAAACATTAATTTATTTAAATAAAGCCTAATGCAGTGTTCATTAAAAGTTCTAAAGTGGACTAAAACTATTCTAGACATAATAAAATCAATAACTTTACAGCATCTGTAAAGTTAATACATTTTCCAGAACCATAAAATACTAAACTCTGTTGTAAAACATACTGAAAAAGTGTACTTTTTACTTGGTGCTGAAAAATAGAGTAAAGGTAGTAGTGGATGAGATCTTTTGGGATAGGTTTCTAGATTTGAATAGTCTGACTGCAAAAACTCCTTCCTGCTCTCCCATCCATGCATCCATCCATATTTAAGAACATAGCTAGTGTGGTATACTGATTAAGATGTTGCACTAGGAACAGGGAGATTTTAGGCATAGAAGGCAGCTTCGTGACCTTGGATCAGTCACACCTTTTTAGCCCTAATCAGTATTAGCCTCAATCAGTGATGAGATGCAAGATGAAAAACTAAACTTGTCATTACATCTTGGTAATTTTACTCCCTGAACTGAAACTCAGTGCAAAACAAAGTGGTCCTATAACCAAGTGGGACAACTCTACAAACACAAATATTCAAAAGATGGATTAAGTAGCACTGAGAAAGTATGCTGAACCAGTGCATATCCTCACAGTATGCATACATTAAGGATACTAAGCATTCAGTTAGAAGAATATACACACTTGAATTTTGTGCACTTTAATCTCCCTTCCATTTTCCCCAAAACATTGCACGTCCATTAGTTTAATCATTCATAAGAATTGGCTTGTTATAATAGAACATAATAACTTAATTATGCATCTAAAAATACAGTGCATGTATTATTATTGTTAGTGTTGTTTTAATAGCTAAATCATTTACTTTGTTAGATTAAATAATGCTAGAAAGTATAGTAAGTACCATTTTGCATACACATCTGAGATAATATTCTGGTGCAGTGCTCATAATGGATAAACTGTTAATTTAATCTCCTGATTTGTTTTAGATATAATGCTTAAGGCAGTTTGGTATTGTATTAGAAGAATGATATCTTCAGTTGTGCAGTAGATCAGGAACAAATGTCTTCAGTTGGTTGTTTGTGCCATTGATTCTATAGTTCCAAAAATGGATCCAAGATGTGTACATGTGGAAGTCTTATGAAGCACGTT